GCTTCAGAGCGGGTAATGTCATCCAAAGTGGCTGAGGCAGACACATATCTGAAGCACAACAGCAGGATAATGACACAGGGGAAGAGACACACACTCACATTACACAACAGTAACTTCAACACCATGTCCTCTTATTGTTTTACAGGCTGGATATTAAGGCTTTAAGTATTTCAAACATGTCGGCAGAGGGGAAATAAGCGTTTATAATATAACACAATGTTCAATTATTTGAGTAATGAAACTAAGCTTTTATCTTAACCGTTTATGAATGATTACAAAAAGTAATCTTATAACCGGCTATATATATTATTTAAACAAAATACGAACTGAATTTAAACTTTAAAGGTCACATGTTCTGCAAATATGCCTCACCATGTTTCTCTACCTCTAATATGTGTCTCTAGTCCGTCTACAAACCCCCCAATGATGAGAAAAGTCCATCCTCTCCGTCTTCTGCCTGCTCCACTTTTCAGTGTGCTCAAACAGGCCGTTTGGCGATTTTCCCTTCATGACATCACAAAGGGCAGTAGCCCCTCCCCCAGGTGAGTGACACTCCCACAGCTAGGTGTTTGTTCTGTCCTGAGTCTACCTTCTCACCGTAAACAATAGGACATGGAGCGAGAAAGACCGAGAACACCCAAGCCCTTCCAGAGAGGGGGCGTGGTCAGACACAGCTCATTTACATATTTAAAAAGGTACATAAACAGCCTGTTCTGAGCAGGGCTGAAATAGAGGGGTTTATAGACATGATCAAATACAGGATCAGAGTGGAAACTGGTTGAAGAGGAGGAGAATATGTGACCTTTAAGAAGATGATCAAGCACTGGGACTCAAACCGCAGATTCTTACACCATGTTATTATACTTTTCTCTAAACTCTCCTGATGTTGGCATCACTCTGTCCTCAGTATCTCGTCTACAAGTGCTACAAAATGCAGCAGCTAGGTTGTTAACATACTGGTCGTCCTTTTCACATCACTCCAAGTCTTGACTCTCTTGTTTGGCTTCAAGTTTCAGTTTTGAATCAATTGTATCAATTACATACAAAGCCCTGCATGTCCTGGCTCCTACTTACATAACTGAATTACTTTGTGGCCTTCTAGCAGCTGTCTTCTCCGATCAGCTGATCAGAGCCTTTTAACAGTTCCTCGTCATGTTATTATTTCAGAGGTTATAACAATTAACAAGCTACCGATGACACAAGCACATATTTAGAAAATGCTCCATTTTAAGAGAATAAGGGCAGTTTGGTGTCTAACATGTTACACTGTTATTAAAATCACTGGACTCTCCTCTGTGTAATATTCAATGTCCGATATTTGAAACTTCACAGGAATTATTTTTGCAAGCTTAAACACTCATTCACACACATGCAGAGCACGTACACAGGAGTAAGGTTTTCTGTGTTTAGTGGAGAGGAATGGAGGGTAAGTGTGTTTGTGTGGACTGTCAAACAGCCAGGTAGATAAGGAAGCACAACCAACAGGAACCACAGGAGTTCTAACTTCACATCTATCTGGTGGACACAGAGACATAACAGCTATATATAGAAGATGTCCTACTGTGGCTAGTGTTAGCTTCACCTGTTTCTATGTGCACAGCTTGTTCAACATAAATGAAAAAGTGCATTAAAAGCTATAACTCAGTTTCTATTGAGGACGTTGAATAATTCAATACCACATTTTTTTTTAAACGATACATTCTCCTTTTTTAAAAATCCACAGTAGTATCGAAGAGAATCGAAGATTTAAAGAAAACAAATCTATTTCATTTTTGTTGGCAACATTTCAGTACCAATATAATATTGGTGCAAGTTAGACAGAGTGTAAAAGTTTGCTTGCAAATTTTGAAGATAGAAAACAAGACATTACCCAATATTGGGGGCCAATTGTTAACGTGGTATCTTTTAAACGGGTGTCAATATGGGATGAGTTTTATTCCCATCATATCAAAGTTTAACTCTACTCTCTGTGTCTGCTGTAATGGAAAAATTCTGTTTACTGTCAAGGACACATTTATTCACAGCTCCTTTGAGAAATGCTACAATAATTGAATACGTAATATTCTTGTTTTGTCTTTACCCAAGATGAAGGTTTCTCACAAATAGCTAAATATCAGAGATACTCAGACTTGAAGTTTCCTTGACATTACTGTTGTGAGACGTGTTAAAATGTATTTGATATTTGACTGCACCTGTATCTGCAATCCTTATATAGGCATGAAGGTTTTTCTGTGAAGCATGTATATAAACCAGAGCATATTTGTGATTACTTGGAGCTTTCCTTCATACTGTATTGACACTCATAAGCTTTGTTCCTTCTACTTGCACGAAGAATTAAACTAAACAAAGACACTGATTGACTTGTGATCCTTTCTTTTGCATTGTTAACAGAAGTTTTTTACATCAAAATTTGCGCGATAAATTCAGAGTTTTTGCGATATGTTTATTGTGAATCCTCATGTCTGGATAACAATGAAAAAGCTAATTGTGCAGCCCAAGCAGAAAGGGAGAACTGTTTTTTTTAAACCCAGCTCTAATACTGTTACAGTAAGGGGAGACAGCTCTGCTCCACACAAGGCCAGTCTGTACAATGTGACTAACACCAGCACAATGCTGCTGACTGTACCGCACAGTGACTTCATACAGAGTGCTGTCTGTCCATTCACCACTTCACTGTCTCAATGCTAAACAGAATCACAATCACCTGAACAGACACATTTGGACTCATGTTTGTTATTACCATCCCTGCCAACCACTTGCAATTTTGGCTAAACTGTCATCACACTGAGGGTACAACAATTGTGTTTGATTTGTATTGTCATGCTAATAAAGCACACTTAACCGAGTGCAACAAATAACTGACTCTCGCTCCACGCACTCCAGATTTCATGGCAAAACGCTCTCGGAGACTTTGTGTCTCCAGTGTATTCATAATTCATAACCCATTGACTTCTTTGTTTGGTTGAATTGCGCTGTGTGCTCCTCACACATTCCTATCTTTCCTCCCACTATGTTTCTGCAGCAGTGACTCTGAGCTGCCCGTCTGGTCGCCAGGCACAATCAGTGACCATGCATACTATCTGTGTGTGTGCATGCATGATTTCCTGTACTGTATTTGGCACTGCGTGTGTGCCTATGTAGGCCTAAACCAAGAATAACACGCCTGTCTGCTTGTGTTTCTGCCTCTCTCAGCAAATATTCAAATAGTACACATTTATTCTGGCTGTGTGGGTGAAAACTGGAAATCCAAGACAAGAGAGTGTGAGAAATGTGTTTGTGCTTCTATTTCTGGTCCATAAGGAGAGCAAACACTACATATGGAGACCGGTGTTCCTGCCTCTGTTTGTGAAGGTGTGTGTAGAAGTTAAGATCAGTGGCAGCAGCCTCCATCCTGTCAGCAAACTATTTGAGTGAGCTTGCCAATCCAGTTCATTTAAGGAGCCGCCACATGGAAAATTCCATTAGCTTCAGACCTTCAAGCAGCACGGTGGTGAAGACGGGGAGAAAGTTCTGGATTCTTCCAATAAGACAGTGAGCTTTCTTAAAACTGTCCTCCTAGGGAAACTCTGCCAACTCAGATTTTTTTTTTTTTTTTAAGTCACACCAAACCGAAAGAAATGGCTCCTATCCGGGGGTTAATCTCTGATATCGTGAAGTGAATACACTTCCTCGCTAGCTTGGTTGAAACATGTTCTTATTAAGGTCGTATTACTAAAAAGGGGAATTATGATAGTTTCATTTCTCTTGAGTATTATACAAAACTGAAATGTGAAAGCTCCAACAAAGCTGTGTTAAATTAGTAAAAGAAATGTTTTTAGAAGCAAAGTTATATTACCTGCAGGCTGCAGGGCATAAATTATTCTGTAGTATCTTGTTCAATATTTAAAGAGAGGCGGGTCTGCAGGGTCGGAGGTTTTGAGATGGAGTCGCACACTCGCTTCCTCATTAGTGATCTAAATAGTGAAGCTAAGGTGGCAAAGCAATATCCACACACCAAGGAGCTCCCGTTTAAAGGATTTATTTAGTGACATATCGAGCAGCCCTGCTCTTTCTGAGGCTAGGTTCCATTTTCAACCAGAATCAGCTCTAAATATTCAAACATTTAAAATATGTCAGATGCAAGATGTAAAACAAAAACTTGTGAGCATCATTAATCTGGATAACCTGTCGACAAACGTTTCCAATTATGACGCTTCGGCTTAATTCTGGACACAAGTCAATAAATCATTGATGTTTTTGTGACTCAGACTTCAGGCTAACATCTTTGTGTTTTGGGCAACTAATTCTGCATTAGTGCCACTGAGGTCAACAAACACAACAGACTTAAGTATTTACTTCTGAATAATTAACGTTACTGTGCTCATATCTGCCTTACAACCTAAATACAAATTGACTGGCCTTTTTACCCTTTTCTGCAAAAACTCTGTAACTCCCACCTTCACCTCACTTCTTAGGAAACTCAGGAGCTTAAAAGCAGCAAAGGTAAAGAGTGTCAGTCCTCCAACATGGTCAGTGGTATTAAAAGCAAACAGGAAGTGTGTGAGACAGAAAATGAGGGATTTGGAGAGGAAGTAGAGAGGAGGACGTGTGTCATCAGTTCTGAACAGAGCAAGAGACGACACCTGACCTCCGGGAGAGGAAGTTAAAAAGGCTGACGATTCTGAGAGGACAGAAAACCGAAGAGCAACACGCAAACAAAGGATCAGGATCATGTATAGTGAGCGAGTTATTATCAGGGAATTTAACCCCCGACAGGTTGTGCAGGACCCCAACGCTAACTTTACCATGTCCCGCTTATTACACAGCTACCAACTTTAAAAAAATAAAAATAAAAAAAAAATAATAATAATTTATTATAAAATAAATAAAAATCAACACTGTGACACATTCTCAATGATTTTAAAATGTCTAATTTCTCCTGATGAAGAAACAAGTGTCGATATCCACAGTTAGACATGTCTCCATAGCAACGGTAAACTCTGTAGCCTTCATAAAACAGCTAAACTAGCATTCATCACTCACATAAACTAACATGTTCACTCATGGTGAAGTGAGACACGACGAACAGGTCCACATGAATCCACACAATAGTTTTTCTGCCGTTGGTCTTTGACACTTTCTGCTCCATTCACCATCGTTAAACACAGCCGTATCTCTAACCACAAAACGCTGTGTTTACTTCATGGATTCCTCCGTCTTAGCCTGCTGTTTTTGTGTCTTTAACTTCCTTTCCTCCGTGGTTATCCTCCCAATTTCTCTTTTCTGCCACAGTAAACAGACCAACATCATACTTCCAGAGTCTGATCAGAGTCTGATAAGAGCCACGCCCCTAGCAACCGCCTGCTTTACTTAGTAACGCATCAACGGTGATCTGTTAAGGAGTATCAGACCGTTGCTATGCTACATTAGCCAACCAGACTCACTGAAACATATTTACCTACAGCTCCACCTCTTCTTTCAAACAGTAGGAAGGTGAGTCACAGGCCTCAGTGGACAAACAGACTCCGGCGAATCAGGAATGTAACTCAGCCTGTGATGGATAGGACTCCACGTCTCGGCTGAAAGAGAACGAGCCAAGCCGCGTGTAAGAAGGTCCTGACAACAGCAAGCGCACCGATTCTGAGCTTGTCATGACTTTTAATACCAAGTTTTACAATTAATTTTAATGACCAACAGCATCTAGAATTAAAAATACTTCAGTCATGTTTTTAACCAAAGGCTCCTGAGAAAGAGAGAGAGAGAGCGAGAGCGAGAGAGCGAGAGACATCACTATCCAAATTCCACAAATTCATTGGCAAAGTTTCAGTACTGAAAGTCCAACATATTGGTGCCATTTGGACAGTTGGCAGCAGTTTGCCAACAATATTTTGGTAAATAAAAACAAGTAATGACTCAATTGGGTACCAGGGACTTTCTCTTCGACCACAGCCCTAAATAAAAATAAATAACTGTACTTCTTAAAAAAAAAAAAAAAAAGAAGTTGGCTTTTATACATTTGTCTGAATGACAGATATCTGTTTAGATGACATTTTAATGAGCGCTACACGGAAGCATGTAGGCTGTTATATTAAACTAAGATTAACACTGCTCTTCTCCCAGGCTGTCTTGCAGCCCTGGCCTAAGGTCAGGTTCCAGGTTCTGTAGGGCTTGGGTCGGGCTGCAGACCTCTGACTGATAACCCTTCTATAAAGTTTTTTTTGTCTGTACTGGGTAGGACAGTGGATTGTGTCGGAAACCGGGATGAGAGCAAGTGGAGTGTGACATGCAGGATAGGAGCCACAGGTTGGACTTGAACCCGGACCGCAGGCTTGGAGGACTAAAACCCCCATACAGGGGCACAACTTTACCTCTAGGCCATCTGCGCCCTGATACCCAAGCAAATCCAAAAGCTAAAAAACACACAACAGTAAAAATAAAGAAGAAGAAGAGGCTTTGTTCTCCGTGCAGACACGAAGTCAAACACCAGCGTTCTCAAACACGGTTAGGAGGTGCGAGCGGAGAAGCATCGAGAGTTAGTGAGAGTCAGGAGCGTGAGAGAGCAAACACAGCAGACGTTCAGACATCATGACTGGCGGGGGGCGAGCAGCAAACAAGAGCAGGAACTCACAGATCGGAACGGGTAACTCTCTCATTCCACTCGCCCAGTTTCTCAGAGGTTCTCACATAGCTAGAAACAGAGACACCGGGGTGTTAAAGTGCACACGACTCGCTGCACATCCCAACAGGAGAGACGGGAGATCCAAAATCTGTGTTTGGTGTTTATTAAACGTTACAACTGACTTTAACAGTCAAAGCAAAGAAGGTCAAACTGCCGACTGTCAGGGAACAAATTCACAAAAATGTATAACTGTGTTTGTATTTCTAGGCCTGTGTTTCCTGAGATAAGAGCTAGCATCCTATTCATCCAGACATATGTACAACTCACTAACTGCACACTCAGTACTTCATCTTCTGTGTTAGGATAGTTTAATTGAGGCCTTGAAGAGAACCATTTCTCTTTCTGTCTGACGTTAGCTGATAAAACTCCTCTCCCTCGCCTGCAGGACTTTTCACATCTTTATTCTCCCATCTCCCTCACAGAATCAAAATGTGTCTTCTAGTGGAAATAGCAGCATTGGTTGAATGTTTAAAACGTGAGCATCTAAACTCGTCTAAATGTCAAACCTGCTGTGTTAAGTTTTTGTTTCCTTGAGGCGTTAAATCAGAAGGTTTAGAGACCCTACATTAACCTGTGTGATGACACACGCTTTCATTGTTTCACCTTCAAAATAAATTAAGATGAGTCACAGTAATGATCTCCTTTTACTGGAAAAACTCTAATGAATTTCAACATTGTTATTTTGTCAAGGAGTTTGTTATGTGCTCATTACGACTCTCTCTCTCTTTGTGTGAACACCTCCTGCTGCTCGATTCATCACGAGCAATCATGTCATCTTCCATCTCCCAGCAAAGCTTAATGATGTTCGAGGAATTTTTTTTTTTAATTTAAAAAATAAAAATAAAACAGAGGAACTTCTGTGAATCAATGAAAAAGTGCAGAGAAATATTTACTCTCTCGCTGTGACGAGCTTGATTAACACGATTATTACACAGCACCTTCCCTGCTGCTCTTAAAGTCGAGGTGAGGTCGTCTCTGTGTCATTAGTTTACATAGTTTGCCGTCATATTATATAAACCTCTTTAGAGGGCCGGTATGTGTGTCACCACAGGATGAGTCATTGTGTGACTGGCTCTTTCTGATAACAGACAAAGTCTTAAAGAAGTGCTGAATCATCCCGCTGTGCTGTCACCAAAGTCAAGGCTGGTAAAAAGGCCCTTTTAAAAATAAACTTCATGAATTTTAGAGGACTAATGGTGCTTCTTTAATCTGACCGGGTTTAGTGAAACTCTATTTTTGTTGACTCTGGAGAAGTCGTCAGCACAGTGAGAGTAAGAGTCTCTCTAGATTCAGCATGTACCTCTTAGATGTTTTTTGTTGTTTCTTTCTGTGCACTGACTTTAAAGTTCATGGTTTAATGTTGGGTCTTTGTACATAAAATAACAATCAGTGAGATCTCTAGCTGATTTTTGTAAAGTTTCTTGGGATAATAAAGGTTGATTGATTAAAATAGAAACATTTGTTAATGTCTTGGGGGGGGGGGGGGAGAGATTATCTCTTAACCAGACTTTTTTTTTCCCCCATAGATCTCAAACACCACTTCAGTCTGTTTCAGTCCCATGTTGTGCGTTCAATGATCCAGTGCGCTCTATACGTACGCGTTGGAGGTCTGGACGTCCTGCCAGCTCTTGCTGATGTTCTGCTTGAGTTCATTGAGCGGGCTGAGGCCGAGTTTCCTCTTCAGCTCTGTGGCGTGTCTCTCTTTGGCTGAAAGAACCTGACGCAGGGTGTTGATCTCCTCCTCCACCTGAAACACAACACACCAAATCAGGAAGAGTTCTTGTTTCAGGTTTCATGATTCAGAGTCTGCCTTTACCGCCTCTCTTTTCTTGGGTATCAAAACTGATTAATGCTTCTTAATTTACAGAGAGGCAGATGGAACAACTCAATCATCCTGTTTGCTAATAACAAGTCTCAGTGGTTTTCAAAAAAAAAAAAGTGTCTTTTGACTGACTACACAAACAGATGATACAGAAATCTATCAGGCAAAGCATAATTATGACAAAAAGAAAAAGTTAGGAGCATTCTCAGACTGACAGGGGCCCTAAAATATTTGAACATGCATTAATTTATCATCATCACCACAGAATACTTTCTTCACAGTGTGGTCATAACAATAACTGTCACATGTTTTTCTTGTTCGTTTTTGGCAGTAACCACCCCGTCCCCTTCTTTTTTTTTTGTTTACATTTAATGGTCTGGTCCGACCTCAAAACCTAAAGCAAGTGAGGAGTTCTTTAAAAAAAAAAAAAAGGTGAGCACAACTCCCATTTGGAGAATGGATGAAGTCAGCTAATTAAGTAAGTCCCCTATAGTACGAATTCATATGACCTTATTTTGAAGTATTACACCGCGGTACAGACAGTCTACTTTGGAGCGGTATTTAGATGCATGTAAGATCTTTTGATGGGGACTGTAAGCCTGGGACTCAGACGCACATATACAAAAAGGCAATTTATTTGATTCAACATTTTTAGATCAGTAAATCAAAGTAATTATTGATGCATCAAAGTTTGGAATATTTGAAGTCTCTCTTTCTGAGTCGGGTTAAGCTGCAATGATTAACTTTCAACCATCATAATTAATATTCAACAAGTCAAAACAAACTGATTCCAGGGGGGTGTATGTCTCAGTAAAGAGGACCATGGACAGATTAATCGACAATGAAAATAATTGTTGCTCTAAAGGCAGGTAGAACATGTAAACACTCTGGAGTCATTCTTTGGCAAACCTGAGAAAACTTGTGTTGTGTGTAAACATTGCTGATGAAGCTGCTCTGATTCACGTTAGTGATTTTCTGCTGTAAACACAAATATCACGTGGCGGCCGTAGCCGTGCATGTAAACACCTGGTGACGTTGGAACATTTGGGTCGTACCTTAGTGAGCTCGACGCTCAGCTCCTCTGCCTCTTCCTCTGTCAGACCGGGTGGGAGAGGGTTGACCGAGTTCCCCACTGCTCCCTCCACCGGCACGTCCGACAGGCTGTCTGAAGGGTCCACACCGAGACCTTTGTTGGGAGAGTTCAGGTTGATATCTGGGATGCCAGGAGAGAACAAGAAAAGATGATGTTAATGGGGGGAGTGAAATGCAGAGGGCAGCAGGAGGGTAAACAACACCCTCAGATGAGCTGAAGTGCTAAAAGCTCAGAGTGGTTTGCTTTAATGATCCCTTTTAGTATCCGTTTCACAATGACACGTTTCAAACTGGAGCCAGGAGAAGGCTTGCATTTCCAGCAGGAGATATCCGACAGGAAGAGAAAGAGGCAATTAGCTGAGCCACAAGTTGAACTGCACTCAGAGAGAGTGATGCAAGAAGCTCTTTGTCTGGAAACCGTTTTGTTCTGAAGTAAGCAGGAACACTGAGATGAAGACGAGCAGAAATAATAAATACAAACAACAGGAGAGAAAAGTTAAAAACACACTGACATTATTTATACTCAAACTTAAAATGAAGGTCTCAGTTAGTGTAGTCTTGACCACAACACTAATTAGAACCATGTTGAATTTTAAAATTCTGGTATCATGACAGCACGTCTGTATATCCTGTCCTATCTTATCTAACTGACATCCAAGTATCAAACAGAATCAAGGTTTTTCCCCAGCTCTAGTTCACAGCACAAAAAAATTCCACCATAAACACTGAAATCATCCTCAGTCAGGCTCAGCATCTCCGGGACATGAAGAGCACATTGCATCATTTCCCCGAGGACACCATCACATATTTGGCAGCTAGGCAAGCTTGGCACAGCCAGAGCTGGCATGAGTGGAGGAGAAAAACACAAGGCCAGAAAAGAAAACTGGAGCCTGAAACTATGGGGTAAAAAAAAAATATACTCTGTGTAGTCATTGTGCAACTTTTTAAATCATTCTTATTCAGGGGACAAGCCTATTTTGAAAGCTAAACTTTCACAATGCCTTGCTGACAAACAACAACTTTGACTTCCAATGCAAAAAAACCAAAAAACATGCCGTGTGCTGGAGTGTATTCGCTCTGACTTTTGCATCGTAATCTAAAATATCGAGGTATATATGCATGAAAAAAAACTTCTGCATGCAACACTGACATGGCCTTTAATCCCTGTTTCACAGAGCAATATGCACATCTACACAACTGATTACACAACACATCAGACAAACACAACTAATTTGCAAAACAGCCAGATTATCTGCAGGTCATGTCCCGTCATGTTCCTCTATCTGAACAGGGACAAAAGCACAGAGAGGATGGTATTCAAATAACTTTATTTATACATTAGGAACTTCCATTTGTGTAAAAGAGAATCAGTGCGCATACAGCCGCGCACACACACACACACACACACACACACCCTCTATTAAAAGCATGATACATAGGTCATAAATAATTGTTATACGCGGTTAAAAAATAAATAACAAATCCTGCTTCCAAATCCCTGAAAAGCAGCACAAGTGACGCTCTGTGTTCAAGAGTAGCAGCAACATCAGCATACAAGCTGGCCACAGATATGACGGCTCCACCCTCAAGGTGTATTGATTCAGTCGGGAGTGTTTCAGAGCGGTGCGCAGAAATAACAGCAGCGAGGTCAATACGAGACGACGACAACAACAAGGCTCTTCTGAGAGAAGAAAAGCTACAAAAATAGATTTCTTATTCAATATGGACTTAAAGGATAAAATACCAGACATAAATTGCATCATGATTCTTATTCACCAGTAGTCTAACTGGTCTGTAAACACTGAAGCATGTGTGCAATGTCAACCACACCCCTCACTTTAAAAAAAAGAAGAAAATCTTGCTGCTGCATTGCATCCTGGTCTAATTCCTGCTGAGATGGAAGTAGATGGTATTCTGTGTTGTGTTAGTTGGTGTTTTAGAATTACTTGAGACCCAACTGTTTGACATATCATGTGTAAAAATGACACACCTCAGACATTTGTTCATGTTATTATTTCAGGATGGAGATTTACTTCACATAAAGAATCCTGACAGGAGGAGTGTCATGTGAGAGAGTGCATCAGACTGGAAAAGTCCCTGCCCCAGTTCAGGCACAAGTCTTCCTCTCAGGTTTCACATCATTAAGAGAACAGTAGCAGCAGGATTGACACGGCCTAGTTCACTTCAGTTTGTTTCACTTGGAAGTCAGGAGAATGTGGGTAACCCTAATCACTTTCTAGAAGCGCTCGTTCTGAGTCACAGGAAGCCTGACACGTCTATCATGGCCGCTCATTAATCTGAATATGGAACAGACAATATGACGATCGCTCTTAAAGGGATTGTGGAGCTGTACAGACCCAGAGATAGAAAGTAGCAGTGACATTACTTTAATGGTTTACTGATATTAAATTAATGAGACAAGACAATTACAAAGTGGTATTGAAAAAAGATTGAGTCATCAATCCTATCTTCAGTTTACAGTATTTTTATATTATCTTTGTGGGGAAACGAGACTCAGAGTTTTATTCTTCAGGGTACAATTTGAGCACGTGTTTAAATTATTGTTAAGTGTTAATCCATTTGTGTCTATGTTGCATGTAGCTCTGTTATTGTTGCCTCGCTCTTTGGACTGATCATTTTAGACAAATTGTGACATGCTACAAATGAGTAAACAATGAGTTTATGCTCTTATCTTAACTCCTCTTATGTTTTAACTTTGTAATTTCTTATCTTACTTTGTCTATTTATGTTTTATATTTACTTTTTATTAATATTATTGTTTTTTTATTGACAATTGATTCACTTGTTTCTTTTTCTGCTCTTACCTTCTTATTGCTGTTATCTTTTGATTTGCTTTTATCTCTTTTAGTTTCTTACATCTTTTTAAATCTTTGGTTCCTCTTGGTCTCAGCTCGTGTTCTTGTGTTCTTGTGTTCAGTTCTTGTGTTTCCTGGGTTCTTATGATGGTTCTTATAATGGTTCTTGTGATGGTTCTTATGATGGTTCTTATGATGGTTCTTGTGATGGTTCTTGTGTTTCCTGGGTTCTTATGATGGTTCTTATGATGGTTCTTGTGATGGTTCTTGTGATGGTTCTAGTGATGGTTCTAGTGATGGTTCTAGTGATGGTTCTAGTGATGGTTCTAGTGATGGTTCTTGTGTTTCCTGGGTTCTTATAATGGTTCTTGTGATGGTTCTTATGATGGTTCTTATGATGGTTCTTATAATGGTTCTTGTGATGGTTCTTGTGATGGTTCTAGTGATGGTTCTAGTGATGGTTCTTGTGATGGTTCTTGTGATGGTTCTAATGATGGTTCTTGTGATGGTTCTTGTGATGGTCGGGTTATATATGTCTGTTGGGTATCGTGCACTTTGGGTTCTTTTCTGTTGAATTGTATTTAATTATTTTTAGTATTTTACATTTCATTGTTCTTGTTGTTGTTTCTGTTCTTCTGTGTTTGGTTTAGTTTGTTCTTGTTTTTGCTGTTTGTCAAAGCACTTTGTAAACCTGTGTTTTTAAAAGGTGCTGTATAAATAAAGTTATTATTATTATTATTATTATAAACAGGACTTATTTACGGCAGAATTTGATTAAATGCATTTGTAATCTTCTCTTTGTTATCTTAACTAAAACTCAGAGTTAAACTTTACATGTTTTCTTTATGACAGGTCAAATATAAATGTTATTTTCTTTACTTCTTTTGGAGACTTACACAAAATACAACACGAAAATAGATCAGAATTTGTTAAACTCTGCCCAATAATAATCTCTAAGATCTCAAATCATTGCCTTTAATCGAGGTCAGGTAGGATTACAAACTGATGAAGCAGAAGTTTCTCTGATATGATCAATCAGGCTGCTGCTGGGTGCAAACCTGCAGATCTGCCAACAGTCAAAATGATAAGCCTGCAACTATACTGCATTAGTCAGCACATCTGACAGCTGCTACCCAACAACATGTGATAAATATACAACGTGCAGAGGAGCATACACTCAGGTGAGTAAGAGGTAAAGTCAGGGGGTGGTGTTGCGCTTTGATGAGCTACCCCAACAATCTGATTCCGCTAACATCTGTCCTTTTGTTTACAAGCTTTAACTGAAGCTGGGAGTGTTTTCATTTAGTTATTTAGAGGAAGTCTAACAGAAAACATGTTCAATTTATTGCTGAGTTATTGTCTGGCATGTTTGAATGTATCTGTATGTAGTAAGTTGTTGACTTTATTAGTAACACGATCCTTCACTTTCTGCTCCTGTCAGCGGGCCCGTCCTGTCCGCACGATTTACACATTAAAATCATTTATTATCACAATGTTTTTATCTTAATACACACACAAACACACACACACAGACGCGTAAAGGTTCCGTCTACTAGTACAGCTAATAATTATAAACAACTGTTGGCTGTCTGCTTCTCAAATCCGCCTCTTGCACTGAGCTAATCTACAAGCTAGCTAGTTAGCATCGGTAGCTAACAATTAACGTTACCTTGACTGGCGGGGTCCATGGCGTCGATTGGTCAAACTTCCCTTTTCGTCAAAAAGTTAAACCCGACTGATTTGAGATTCAAACTGGGGACTCGTTGAGGAGTTTTCTCCGCTAATGTTTGTAAATCTTCCTGGTTCAAGCGGCTGCTGGCTCACACTCACAGAAAGTCGTCGACAGGAGCAAAAATCTGAACAGCCCGACGGCCAGCTCAGCTTTAACGGATATTAGTGGAAAGGTAGCGGAAATCACAGAGGGACATCCGGTGAGGATTTTCAAAATAAAGACGGAGATAGATCTGTATATAACTGTACATACACATTTTTTCTTTTAAAAAAAAAAGTCTCTTTAAATCCTAATATTTTTATCAAGTTATATGTAGTCATCTGTAAATATTTTGAAAGCTAAATTACATATGTATCTTTATATGTATCTAGCATTTATTATTTTATTCGTATTAGTATTTCTTCTATCTTCTTCCTCCTCCTCCACCGACGGCCTCTCCATAACAGCTGATCAGGTGAGAAGTCAGCTGACGAAGATCAAGGCGAGGAAGGCCACAAGGTCCCGACAGCATCAGCTCCAGACTCCTGAAGGACTGTGCAGACCAGCTCTGTGAGGTTCTTCTGCACATCTTCAACCTGAGCCTGAGACTGGAGAGGTCCCGACTCTGTGGAAGACTTCCTGCGTGGTGCCAGTCCCAAAGACATCTCACCCCAGGGAGCCTAACCACTTCAGACCTGTGGCCCTCACCTCTCACCTGATGAAGACCATGGAGAGGATCGTCCTCAACAACCTCCGCCCCCTGGTGACTTCAAATCTGGATCCTCTGCAGTTCGCCTACCAGCCGAACATCGGGGTGGATGACGCTGTCATCTACCTGCTGCAGAGATCCTGGACTCACCGGCAGCACTGTGAGGGTCTCCAGTGCCTTCAACACCATCCAGCCTGCACTGCTCAGGGGGAAGCTACAGAGGGCGGGAGTGGACTGTCACCTGGCTGCACGGACAACGGACTACCTCACCAACAGACCACAGTACGTGAAGCTTCAGGACTGTGAGTCTGACATGGTGGTCTGCAGTACAGGGGCCCGCAGGGGACAGTTTCTCCCCTTTTCTCTTCACCCTGTACACCTCGGACTTCTGCTACAACTCTGGGAGCTGCCACCTGCAGAAGTTCTCTGATGACTCAGCCATCGTGGGGTGTGTGTCTAAGGGGAGCGAACAGGAGTACAGGCAGGTCATCATGGACTTTGTCGACTGGAGTGAGCTCAACTACCTTCAGCTCAACGGCAGCAAGACAAAGGAGATGGTGATTGACTTTCACAGGAAGTGACCCCAGACTGCACCGGTGAACATCCAGAGCTTGGACATCGAGAGGGTGGAGACGTACAAATACCTGGATGTTCACCTCAACAACAAACTGGACTGGTCACACAACACCGACGTCCTGTACAAGAAGGGTCAATGTCGACTTCACCTGCTGAGGCGACTGAGGTCCTTTGGAGTGTGCAGGACTCTGCTACAGACTTTTTATGACACTGTGGTGGCGTCTGCACTTTTCTATGCAGTGGTCTGCTGGGGAGGAGGGAGCACAGAGAGAGACAGGAAGAGACTGAACAGACTGGTCAGGAGGGCCGGTTCTGTCTTGGCTGTCCTCTGGACTCTGTAGAGGAGGTGGGTGAGAGGAGGATGTTAGTGAAGCTGACATCCATCATGGACAACCCCTCTCACCCCCTGCATGACCCTGTGGGGGCCCTGTGGGGGCCCTGTGGGGGCCCTGAGCAGCTCCTTCAGCAGCAGACTCAGACACCCACCCTGCAAGACAGAGCGTTACCGCAGGTCGTTCATCCAATCTGCCGTCAGACTGTTGAATCAGACTGTTTAACAACATCACCACCTCATGCTACACACTGTGTGTGTTTTTTTAAGAACAAGTTACTGTGTAATTTTACATTATTGTATTTTTTTATCTAACTGATGTAAATATGTTTGATTTGATTTTAACTTCTGTTTTTATTTTTTATAATTATATTCCCGTCCCCTGTTTTCTGGAGCTGCTGTAATGCACAATTTCCCCCACGGGGGATCAATAAAGTTTATCTTTATCTTTATCTTTTATTTAAATAAACGTAAACCTCAGCTCTGTTAGATTAATATTTGTTATTCTTTAATTGCACTTAATTTTGTATTTTATTATCCCT